TTACTCTTTAAGCACTCTGGGTACCACCTATGTCTTTAAGAAACAAGATACAAAGAACCTTCTTTGGTACAAAAGAATAGATACAATTAAAATAAAATTAAAGAGATGTCAAAGGCCAAATACAGTGAAGATAATAACCGATCTGTAAGGTATCTCAAATATGTTGACCTACAAGTTAAAGGAAAAATATCAGTGAATAAGAACTGAGTGAAAGCCAGATCTTTTACTGAACCTCATAAAAGACTTGAAGCAATAAAAGATAGGTTCTAAAAACAAACTATAAAGTCACAGAGTTTAAAGATGGTAGAGTATGCAGTATAAGCCTTTCACATTTTTAAAAGAGGAATTTGATGCTCAGAGAAGTAAAAAATTTGGTTAAAATCACACAGGTAGTGAAGCTAGTGAGCAGCACAACAGTGGTAGGAACTCAAGGCCACTGATAACACCACGCTGCCCCAAACTGTTTACCAGCAGGAAGAAAACTGTAAATTAATAACAGTACAAACTAAGAGGAGTTTAATATTGGTCTACCCACTATTAGTGTGCATGTGTGTATGTATGTATGTATATATATACCATATACCATATACATATGGTAGAGATTATAGTCTAAAATATACACAATGAAGACATTGTTTCTTTTGTTCTCATTTTAACTCCAAAATTTAAGCCCCCTTATAGTTTAGAGATAAAAAGTATTTTCATTTTTATATATAACCTAATTTTCAGTAAAATACTTTACATATTAAAAATAAATTAAATAAATTTATTGGTACCATTATCGCCAAGTCCAAAAAAAATTGTTTCCTAAAAACATTTCTCCCTATTTCCTCAAAGAATATAGCAAAACGGGCTACAGCAATATCTCCTATCCCAGACACATGCTCCTCTACAACATAACCTTACCACTCCATCAAAAGATAAAGTCTCATTTCCCTCCTCTTGAATCTAGGCCAGCCTTATGACATGCTTGTATTCAACGGAATGTAGTGGAAGGATTGTATGACTTCTGAGCCTATATCAGATAAGCCATGCAGCCTCTGCCTGGTTCTCTTGGAAAGCTAGTTCTATGGGAAGCCAGCTGCCATATAAGAAAAGTCCAACTACCCTAACAGCCTCTCCATACTGGAGAGGCCACATGCAGGCACTCTGGCTAACGAACCCAGCTGTGTACATTCTCCTAGCCACTTCCACTAAGGTGCAAGTAAAGGCAACTTGGACGCTCTAGACTAACCTCTCCACCAGCTGAGTACTGCTTAGTAACCTCAGACAATGCTATGAGGAGCAGACAAATCACTCAGTTGATCCCTGCCTAAATTCCTGACTCACAGAATACGTGAAAATGATAAAATGGTGGTTAACCTCATAAGTTTCACGATAGTTTGTTACACAACAATAGTAGTTAAAACATAAGCTTCGACACTTGTAAACTAAAGCTATTATGTGTGTTAGCTTTTTTCCTTAAAAAAAAATCTCTTTCTGGGGCCAGCCCAGTGGCATAGTGGTTAAGTTTGCACGCTCCGCTTCAGTGGCCTAGGGTTCACTGGTTTGCATCCCAGGTGCGGACCTACACGCTGCTCATCAAGCCATGCTGTGGCGGCATCCCACAGATAAAACAGAGGAAGACTGGCGCAGATGTTAGCTCAGGGCCAATCTCCCAGACACACACAAAAAAAACATCTCTTTCTGAAATCTACTATAAAACAACTAAAACTATTAATAACTTATTTACTACTCACTCTGAAGCCTCAACCAAAACAGCTTATTTGACAGAGATTATACTGGGGTGAGGAGAGAGGTTGTGGAATATTGTGGAATAAGTAAGTCAATTCTAGAGGATATCAGACTCAATATTCAAAAAAGAAGAGATGATTAAATCATTTGGTCTACACAGAAAACAAAGATAAGTATATGGATGATAAACTTGATCCTAGAAACACACATTTTAAAGATACTTAAAGAACAAACCTTTATGACTCAAGCAAGGGGAAAGTTTTTCTCCCTAAAAGGACAGGTGACCCCTCCCCTCTTCTAACATCAGTCAATCCACCTTTAGGATCCCTGACAACATTTTATAAGCTCTGATTATTAACGTAGAGTCATGCGTCACTTAACGATAGGGATAACGTTCTGAGAAACGAGTTGTTAGGCAATTTCGTCATTATGCAAACATCATAGAGTGTAATTACACAAACCTAGATGGTACAGCCTACTACATATCTAGGCTATATAGTACTAATCTTATGGGACCACCGTTGTTTATGCAGTCTGTTGTTGGTCAAAACATCATTATGCGGCGCATGACTGTAATTAAAAATAAAATGTGCTTGTTAAATAGACTGTTTTGGCAATTATACATTGCTACATAATTTCTATGTCATTACTGTTTAGATTATTTGTGCTTTTGGGAATTCTGCAACATCTGGCAGAAGAACAATAGCTTTGGGTGTATACAAACTTAGAACTTGAACATAAAGAAATTTAGGGGAATAAAACTTATATAATTGAAAGACAAGAATTCATATTGATAGAGACTGTGTTACCTCACATGCTCATACAATTTTTCCCTGGAAAAAGACAATGGCATACATACTTTAATACAGCTACCACAAGCAACATGAGTACAGTTTATAAACAGATGTTCCACTAAAGAGTAAAATGCTTCTATTTTCACCTTTTTATTATGCCTGTATCTTCAAGCCAATAGCCTAAATAGACTCCAAGTCAGAATAACTTGGGTCAAGAATTTCTTGACTGTCAAGAGCTCTATTTGACAGCAGACAACCATGAAACAAACTGTAGGCATATTTAAACACTTTTATTAACAAAATTAAAACACACGCTCTATATTTCACTATGTTTCATACTGTTTTTCGTATTTACATGGTAGGATTTCGTGAGATATTAAATTGTAATTTAGCAGATTTAGATTTATCACTGGCCAATGTAATGACTTTTGTGAGTTCAATACATGTACATTGGCATCATTTCTAAACCGCTTGTCAAGTTTATCTTGCTTTACAAAGAAACAGATGTACTTCAGAACATGTTGATGGTTGGCACCAACTTTACCAAGTGACTTTCATTATAATTTTCCAAATGGCAGCTGTTGGTGAGTTAAAGTATATTAGCCAGACTGGTTTAAACACTGGAGAAAGAGAAGAATACTAAAAAAATTTAAATCTTTACTTTTTAACCTATTCCAATTTTTACAATATACAATACAGCAAGAAAAAAGGGCAAGATCTGCAGGCAACACTTAGAGAGACCTTTTAGTCTAGCCACCTTATTTTACAGTTGATAGAACCATAGCCCAGAGGGGTTAAATGATTTGTTCAATGTCAGAGAGCTGGCAAGCAGCAAAAAATGGGACAAAGACCCAAGTCTACTATCTCCCAGTCCAGCTCTCCTTCTAACAATACAACACAGCCTCTTCAATGGGAAACATATTCCATAAATGTTTGTAAGAGAAGTCCATTAAAATGTTGACTGTTCTGGAAACATTTAATAATTCATTTCTACATTCTCTAATTTCACCACGGTGTCCTTTTGTGAGGAATCGCCATCATGGTCAAAGTTTAGAAATGCCCATGCCTGACTGCCACAGACGACAGACACATGTTAACAATAAGTAAAGGAGAATGCAGAATGGAGACCATTAAATAAATCAGCGTTTTTGCATTGCACACATCTTGCAAATCACTAGAACACCAAGAGGTCTCCCATTCATCTTGTTGGATATAAACAATCTTTGGAAAATGGGCCTCTGGCACGCCTTTCTGACAGTGTAAGGGAGGCTTCTGGCTCCTTTTCATAGTTCCTTATCCTTTCCCATCTGTGATTAAAAGGCCCCTCTCCCTTTGTAAGCAATGTGTATAGGCCAGGCCTTCTGTCTTAGCAGGACTTAAGTTTCAATAGAAAAGGAAGTCATAAATAAAGACAGTGTTAGGGTTTCATGTGACATTTTCCTAAGGTTTAAGCAATTAAAACTTTTTAAAAAAATTTTTTAAACATTCTCTTCATTCAATTATAAAACTCAAAGGCTCTGCTTGGGTACAGGATCAATTTAAATCTTTCAAAACAAATATTTAATAGTTTACAATTAAGACAGAAAACTTGTGCTTAAATATATTTAATAACTCATTAATCAATGGTTTGATGTCCAGTAATCTCTCTTGTGACACAGCACATATCACTGTGACCAGGTGTTGACTCCAAACAGGGAGAGAAAGCAGAATTTCAAATCCTGACTCTCCCTGGCATCAAATAAGAACAACAAAATCCAAACTTAATTTTTAAAAGTAAAATTCAGACTAAAAAGTAAGATATAACTCATTTCAAATGATCAAACGTATATAAGGGATATAGCACAGGGTCCAGCTTATATCAAGAAAAGTCTAGTAAATGTTAGTTCCCTCAACTTAATGCTGCTTAAAGCATATAATCACATTGCTATATGAACATCTCTTCCACCTTCTTCCATTGCCAAAACCATTACTAGTCACCCTTTCTAAAGTTAGTAGTGATTATTTTGCAAAGCAATGTAGTATCTAATCTTGGCTTTATAGCTAGATGCCAAATACCATGCCCTCTTCTCTAGAAGACTTTTAATTCCTAAAAGGCAGATGCTTTCAAGCACCCTTCACTGAGTGCTGCCTCTACTGACTTAACTTCCTTACTAGCTCATACCATATATGCAGGCATTGAATAGTGGCCCAATTCTTTTGGTGAACCCTGATATAATAATCATCTTTCACTCATAAAGAAATCAGTTCAATATTTAATTTAATATTTTGAGCCCCTTAAGACACAGAATATATTAAAATTTACAATAAATACTTAATGAGAATATTTGATGATATTTTTGGTAAAAAATCCTTCACCATCCTAAAAAGAGCTATAAAGATATTCTTTCAAATTCAAAAATAATTATTTTAAATCAATTAATACTATAAGGTTAAGCATTAGAAATAAGTCTATTATTTTATTAGAGTTCTTACCTATGGTAGTTTTTAAAATAATTGACACTTTGCTTTCTAATAGACTCTTGCAAAACTTCAGATTTGCTACCACAAAATTCTTCTCCAACTTGCATCAACCTAATTGGATAAAAAGATTTATATAAATTTCAGCAATATCTTTATTATAGAAAAAGAGAAGTCCAAGTCACCTCTTCAAAGATAAAACAAAAATTTGGATGTTTGAAGATTCTAAAGATCAAAAATCCATTATGGTTTACAAACATATGAAGGGCAGAAATATTTAAACACACTAACATACAAACCCATCAGAAATTAGATTATGAATGTTCAATTATCTTCACATCCATGAAGAAGTTATACATGGTAACTCACTGATTCATGATTTCTTTCATTATAATGGTTGAATGAATCAAAGTAAAGAATAAGACAAGCTCTCAAACACTACCTGCTGATTATATCCAAAACAAAGATGAAATCATCATATTTGAATATAGACAAATCAGTTCCAAGCAAGTAGGTTTTTACTTTTAGCTGAACATCCTGTAAAACAACAACAAAAAATATTTTAAGTGAACACAAAATATAGAAAATAAGTTCTCAGACCTATTTATTCTATAGTTACACATTAAAATGAGACAGGAATATATACCTTCTTAACTTGATAAAGAATATCTATGTAGGCCAATAGCCAACATCCTTAGGGTGACATCATAGAGAAAATTCCATGAACATCAGATACAAAAATAGTAATGGACATATCATCACTATTAATACACACACACACACACACACACACACAAGATAAGTGCAAGATAAGAATTGTATCCTCATACTGGATATGAAGATAAAAATCATCATTATTTATGCTTGGCTTGGTAGGCTAGAAACTCCAAAATAATTCAAAAATAATTAGAATTAACAAGGTAACTATGTGAAGTGATTATGTATAATATATAAAAATTAATAGTTTTCATGTATACCTGCTGTAGCACCTTAAAATGGAGAGATTCCATTTAAAATAAATGTTAAAAATACAATATACTTAGGAATAATTTTAATAAGAAATATCAGACCTATGAGAAAATACAAACGACTCTAATGGGATACAAAATGAATTTCAATACATTGAGTCAAGGTACTAGAAGGGTGAGTAAATAGTATAAAGATATCAATTTTTCCAAATTAATGTAGAGGTTCAATAAAATTCTAACCAAAATCACAAAAAAAAAACTTTTCTTCTGAACAATTATTCTAAAATTCACCAGAAATAATAAATAAGTAATGAACCTCTTTTTAAAAAATAAAGCTTTGAAAAGATGGAATAAAAGTTATGAGTCATGTTGGAGGACTTCTCCTACCTGTATTACACATATTAAAAACTATTAAAAAAATGCTAACAATATACAATCAATGAGAAAGGATAAGTAACACAAAAATAGTGCTAACATACATACGAGAGCTTAATAAACAGCAGTAAAAATTACTGTTTTCTGATTATTTACTTTTTGTCAAGCATTATGTTAAGAACTTTACATATTATCTTTAATCCTAAAATAACTCTGTTGAACAGGCATTTATTATCCCCCTAACAGAAGAAAAACTGAAAAGAGATCAAGTAATTGCATAAGTTCACATGCCCAGTGAATGACAAAGCTAAGACTTGAATCCAGGTCTATCTGCCTTCAAAGTCTCCTCTTTTCACCGTATCTTGCTACAAGGAGGCGTCACACATAAAGAGGGAAGAAAAAAATTTATCCGGAAAGTAGTGAAGGGAAAAATGACTAGATTTGGGGGGAAAAAATCCTCTCTTTACATCATATATCAAAAGAAATACAAAACAAGTTAAATCAACCTGTTTTTGTATGTTTTCAAGCGATTAAAAACCAATTCAATAAGGCAAAAATATTTTCTGAGTACCTATTAAGTGTTCGAGGCAGTACACTAGGTATTAGGGACATAGCAATTAATATAGAGTTAGATAAATATTTACAATTACTACATGAATATTGATCTGAGCTTTACATAGGAAAGAACATTTTAAGAATAAGTGGAACATAAGTCACAAAAGTCAATAGTTTGACCTCATAAAAATGTTAACCATCGGCATATAGAAAATACAAAATAAGTGAAAATAGACAAACAATATGCAAAGGATTGCTCATTATCATATAAATCATTTAGAACCTCTGAGCATAAAACATGAGCAATTAATTCACAAATCAATAATTAATAGATTTTTAAATATTCTACTTCTCTAACAATTAAAGAAGTATGAATTAAAACACTAATAAAAATATGAACAGATTCAATTGCCTTATTAAAAGATAAAGTCTCCCTCGAAAAAAAAATTTTTTCTTACATTTATAGGAAATATAACTAAAATATGACACAAAAACATTTAAAATAATGGGATGCTCAAAGATTTATCAGGAAGGGTCAGCCTGGTGGCATAGCAGTTGAGTTCACACGCTCTGCTTCAGCAGCCTGGGGCTCATGGGTTTGGATCCCAGCACAGACCTGCACACCACTCATCAAGCCATGCTGTGCTGGCCTCCCATATACCAAATAGAGGAAGACTGGCACAGATGTTAGCTCAGAGACAATCTTCCTTACAAAAAAAAAAAAAGATTTATCAGGAAAATACAAACAAACTAAATACAGCAATGGTAATAATAAAGCAAACTAGAATTCATGGCAAAATGCCTCAAGACAAAGAGCTATTTTTTAAAAAATAATGAAGGGAATTACAAACAAAGAAGGTAAGTAAAATGGTTATTAGCAGTGCATCAATAAACATAGCATCCAAGTACAGAAAGCAAAAGCTGTTACAAATAAAAGAAAAACCTGACAAAACTACAATCGTCTGGAAGATTAAACCTCTTCCCTCAGAACTGCACAGACCAAGAAAACAAAAGACAAATAAGGATATAGATTAGAATAATACAATTAATAATAAGCTTGTTTTAATATAGATATAGAACCTAATTCCCAACACAAAAAAAGAAAATACATGGTCATTTTTCAAATGCCCAAGGAAGAATTTTAAAAGTGGGTGGGCATACTAGGATGTAAAAAAAATCTCAAATTCACAATAAGTAGAAATACTGCAACCCTAATTCTCTACAATAAAAAGAAATTAATATAAGCATTTTTTAAATGTATTTTCTCACATATCAATATTTAAAGAGGAAAATCTTGGAAGACCAAGACTGTCATATGGTTGGATGTGTAAGCTCCATGAAGTCAAGGACCATGGGTTCCCCACCGTGTTCTCAAATCCACGAACAGTGTCTGCCACACAGTATGATTGATACAGCCTTTTTCCTTTAAGATTCTGGTTGAGTCGAAATACATGGAAAATTTGCCACAATATTCTAAAAACTTTTCATCTCAATAATCAAGGTGATTATGATTTTAGTTTTATGTCAGAGAGGTTAAATATCTTCTTATGCTTTTCAATCATCATTTATCACTATCTCTACAACTAACAAATTTATGATAAATGTCTATAAATTGTCACATGCTCACTTGTGCTTCGGAATTTGGGATTTCAGATGTTAGAAATGTATTATGGTACGGATAGCATACATTATATAACACTCCCAGTGGGGTCTAGGGCAGTATCCCAAAATAAAACACATTAATATTCCTGCAACATATGAATGTTCACTTTAGGATAAATAATTAATATAACAAGCCTAATGACAATACTGGTCAGGTTCTGCTACCAAATGAATTCAATTCATGTCAGGTTTTAGCAGCTAAATGTGTTATCAAAAACCATTTGTTTTTTTAGAGCTCTTGCTTTTTTCAGTTTAGGAGCCTGGTAATTTCAATTTAACAAACACTCAATGAGTTCCTAAAGTATGCACAGTCCTGTTTTAGAACTGGTTGAGAACTGAGATTGGGGGTACAAAAGAGACTTGGAAGTGGTGAAGATGAAGATATTCTAAGGCTTGAAACCTAAAACAAAATAATCTATACTCAAAAGCATGATGACTTGCATTAAACTGGCCAAATGCTTAAAGGAGAATAGTTTTACCACACCTTATATTTAATAGATTTTCTTATATCAGGAATGACAGCAGGTTGCCAGACTGAATGGAAACTAGCTATATAAAACGCTGGTCAAAATTTCAAAAGACATTGAATTACCAGAAATTCTACCATGGATTCTACAATTTCAACTAAGTACATTTAGAGTCTATTAGGAGACTAAATCAGAAACAACTCATATCCAATCAACAAGTATGAGATTTCCCTTTACATTATACATAATATTCAGAAAAAAGTCAGCCCAAAATCACAATTAATGGTAAACTAAAAATTAGTTTAATATGGTCATATCAGAAAATATAGAAGCCAAACCTCTTATAACTATCACATAAATATATTTTAAATATTAAAGTATAAATCCAAATAGCATATTAAATATAAAATTATCAAAAGTTAGAAGACCACTAAATTATAACTGCTAAGTCATTCTTGAGGAAATTTATGTTTTCATTATATATATTCCTAAACAATTTTTTTCAAAAGAAATTCTGAAAAAGATTGTCAAATTAAAAATCAGCCTCATTAGAAAAATCAAAAATACATTTTAAAAGACTAAAAATGGTCAAAGGGTCTATAGTCTTCTAAGCTTGGAAGAAGTCCCAAAAAAGCAAAAAAGAGTTATCTTAAAAGAAATTACACTTGTATGTAGAAAGTAACAAATTTTAACAAATTAGCAAATTTAATTATCTGATAACAATTGAGCTATTAAACCGCAAAAGAAAAGAAGATACATTCAGGGCCAGCCCCGTGGCTTAGCAGTTAAGTGCGTGCGCTCCACTACCGGCGGCCTGGGTTCGGATCCGGGTGCGCACCGATGCACCGCTTTTCCAGCCATGCTGAGGCCGCGTCCCACATACAGCAACTAGAAGGACGTGCAACTATGACATACAACTATCTGCTGGGGCTTTGGGGAAAAAAATGGAGGAAGATTGGCAATAGATGTTAGCTCAGAGCCAGTCTTCCTCAGCAAAGAGAAGGATTAGCATGGATGTTAGCTCAGGGCTGATCTTCCTCAAAAAAAAAAAAAAAAAAGAAGATACATTCAGTCAATCAACACGTAAGCTTCCTTCAAGGCACAAAAATCATTGGCTTAGAAAAAATTCTTCATTCTATACTAGATTCCAACCTAAGTATGTCATCTATTTAGTTATCCTCTTCCTAAAATTAATAGAAAAAGAAAAGAAGATACAAATAAATGAAATAAAAATAAAGAGCATCTCAATAAGAAAACAATTTCTTTAGAAAAGCATAAATTTGCTAGGACACTAAAAGCAAAAATGTAATCAAGGAATATATGAGTATTTCCACTGGAGATTTTCAAATTAAGAGATTTCTTCTACTGCCACTTGTAGACAAATATAACTGTCAACTAAATTATAGAAATTAAATGATAGACTTATTCCAAAGAAAAACTAACATATGATTAAATCTTCAAGGAATACAAATAAATACAGAAAATTTAAATATAATTTCTAAAACAAGTTTGACATGGTTTCCATTCTTTTGTAAAAAAATAATTTTAAAAAACCAAACCTGCCATATTCGTGTAAGTCCATGTTCTAATTTCTTTTTTATGTAGCCACGATCAAAATTAGTTTCTTCGGTACTAATCATATTATTCCCTTCTGAAAATGAAAAATGGTATACGTTTTTAGATTTGCTGCTTCAGAATGTTTTTGCTTTCCAAAAAATTACATTTGGACTTGCATATACTGTAAACCCATGTAAAATATAGAAAATATGTTCAATATTTATACAACCAAAACAATGTCAAAAAATAGGTATTAGGATTAAACCCATTTGATAAGATATATAAACTCAGACCTGAAATGTTAAGGACTTTACACCTAAGACGACTCAGCTCATGTGTGACTGGAGCTGGGATTCCAACTTGGGTAGTGTGATCCCAGAGACCCAGTGCTCAATGACCTATATACTGCCTGCCTACTGCCAGGGCATTACAGGACCAATTAACCAATTATCAATTAATATGCATGTTAATAAAAGTACAGATGGCAGAACTGCTCATGCAGTGAAGTAATGATGCATACATTATATTTTTAAAGATCCAGAACAGTTGTATCTATTCCAGATAAATAATTTAACAACGTCCAGGTCAACAGGTAAGATCAATGACCTGCCTCAAAACAAGTCTCCCACAAAAGCAACTGAATACACACATACATTTATATTTAAAAGAGTATGCCTTTGTGCGAATAAACTATGTGGAACAGCTAAGGATATTATCTCATCCTAGGCTGGCAGGGTGTCCACTGGTAACCAGCAAAAGGCCCTTGCATAGGCCAGGCCCCAGACATATGCCTAATGTACCTCTGACCACTCCTACAACATAAGCCTTATTATCTCTCTGGTCTGGCTATTAGGGACCCAGCAGCTCAGGGCAGTGCACCTGAATTATAGCTTTGGAATTTTGTTCTGGAATGATGAAGTATTAGGATACCAGTAGTATTACTTTAGAGCCACAGGAGATGAACTCTAGAGACCCTTTCAACTTTATGAAGTTCTGTGAAGAATAAGTTTCAAATGACTGATTCCTACAATTTTATTCCTTAATGTGAAGATGAAAGGAATAATTTCAGGTGAACAAATGACTTTTTAGAGTCCTAGATATTATCAGCTGATTGCTAGACTAATCAGAGTCCAGAATATTCTTAAAATATACAGATTAGGGTCAAGGGATTTTAGCAAAGAGGACTAAGTATATAAGGCTCAAAGCAAGTTTTAAGTATGACTCTATACCCCAATGAAAATATATACATGTAAATATATGTACGTACACATATAACACATGTAAACTATTAGCCTGAAACAAAAAGCAAGCTTCACCACAATGAACAGGTATTTATAAATATATAGTATATATATTTATAGCTCAGTTTTTAAAATCAAATCAAAGTAATTTCTTACCAGAAGCAGAAGTAGTGTCCTCGTTGTCATGCTTCTCATGCCATTCCATAGTCCTGTAATAGCTGAGCATAACTTCCCACAGAGCTTTGCACAGATCAGCAAGGCATGGAATATAGCTGTCTGGTGTAACGTGCTGAAGAAAATGGGAAGAGCCAATTTTCAAATTATCATGTTTACTTTAACACTTAAAGTTAACCAAAATAAAATGTTATGTTATTAATCAAATTCATTCAAGAATTAGAGATAATTAAGGAAATTTCTTCCACTGATATATCTAAAGAGAAAGTTCAATGGCAAGAAAATTTTGTTCAAGTAATTCCCATTTCAATATGGCTTTTTAGTATTCATCAGGAATATCGGTCCATATACTACGAATCAAATGATACTACGAATCCATATACTACTAAATTGGCAAGTGTTCTCATAAACAGCAGTGCAAACTTCCCCAAAAGACATGCTTCTTAGCATGCAAACGCAGCTTTATATTCATCCTTGGACCTAAGTCACACGAGCGAAAAGGAGGTCATATTTAGAATTCAATCATTTCATTTGCGTAAATTAAGTACCTTTGACAATCTCTAAATTCTTTAAATCACATGGATATACACAACCCATATTTGACAATAATACTTGAAAATAATGTTTTATATAACACGGCTATGAAACAATATGTGGTACCAAATCTCCTCCCTAAAGGAAATGCATGGATTTTTCCCCCTCTATCTTTTGTAAAAACTATCATTTTGTCATTCTCCCCTTTTTTTCTGCAGGTAGAGTGACGCCTCCATTCTATTTTACAGGCTTTCTATCTGTCATAACGGAGCAATGGCTCCATCATTTGACATTTCCCAGCATTTCTTCAGCCTGTAATCAATCCACCACAACTGATCATGCTGATAAAACACTGAAAGGCTACTATGACTCTGGTGTAAGCCCTCCAAGGTAAACAGCTGGTAGAAATAAGAAATATACAGCAAGTATAGCTATGGTGTGATTGATGCTCAGGATATCATAGTTGGTAGTAATCCTCTCTCCCTCAAAAAGTTTTTTTCTCCATGATAATCTCTCCCTTCTCTACACTCCTCATTTACTAAACATTCATCAAGCAATTAATAAAAATACTAACTTGTATTTTTATTTATTTATTTTTGTGTGTGTGTGTGAGGAGGACCAGCCCTGAGGTAACATCCAATGCCAATCCTCCTCTTTTTTTTTTTCGCTGAGGAAGACTGGCCCTGGGCTAACACCTGTGCCCATCTTCCTCTACTTTATATGGGACGCCGCCACAGCATGGTTTACCAAGCGGTGCATCGGTGCGCACCCGAGATCCAAACTGGAGAACCCTGGGCCGCCGCAGCAGAGTGCGCGCCCTTAACCCCTTGCGCCACCGGGCCAGCCTCTAACTTGTATTTTTATTTATTACACTTTTGTAATTAACTCAGTACACTTTTGTGTAAGCATGTCAAATCTCTGAAAGTCAACTAGGAAGTAGTAAAATAAAGGAGTTGTTAAGCTCTGGAATCAGATTGCCCAAGTGGGGTTTATGCCAAGAATGGTAGGATGGTTAAATCTTATCAAATCTATTAATATAATCAGCCATATTAACAGGTCTAAGGAGACAAACTAAATGATTATCCCCACAGATGCTGAAAAAAAACCCTTTGACAAAATTCAACAGCTATTCCTAATATAACTCATGAGAAAATAAAATGGATGGATATTTCCTCAAGATGAGGAAACTTTAAGGCATACCCACTGTGGCCAGGAACAAGACAAGGATGCCCACTATCTCCACTATTATTTAACAATGTTCTGGAGGTACTCGCCAATGCAATTAGACTAGAGAAAACAATAAGAAGCAAAAGAATAGAAAAAGAAGAAAAAAAACTACTTCTATCTGCAAATGACATAATAATATACCTAGAATATAATTCCTAGAGAATCAATGATAAAACTAACTCAAACAATAAAAGAATTGAGCAAGGTCGCAGGTTATAAAGGTAACATGCAAAGAATAATAGTATTCATATACATAAATAACAATCATTTAGAAGATATACTGAATGAGAAACCTCCATTTATAATAACAACAAAAAGAGTAAATTTTTAGGAATAAACTTAACAAAAAATGATCCAAAACTCTAAGAAGAAAACTGAAAGACACAAAAGTAGACTTGAACAAATGGAAAGATATGCCTTATTCTCAGGATGTCTCAACATGATCAAGATGTCTGTTCTCCCTAAGTTAATTTATGAATTTACTGAGATAGCAATAAAAAAGTCCAGAAATAGATCACACCTCAGATAAAAATATAGTGAATGATAAAGATGGCAGCTCAGATCACTTAGGTGAAGATAGTCTTTTTCATAAATAGTGTGGGGACAACTAGATAGTCAGTTGGAAAAAGACAAAATTAGACCCACTCCTCACACCATACACAAGAATAAACTCCAAATGGATAAGAGATCTAAACGTAAAAAATAAAGGTATACTAGCACTAGAAGAAAACATGACAATTCATTTCTCACCTTGATATAGGGAAAGGCTTTCGAATTATGACTCAAAATTCGAAGTAATAAAAGTAAAATTTGATCAATTTTACTACATAAAAATAAAAAAAAGAATTTGCATGGCAAAAAAACACACAACACCATAAGCAAAGTCAAAAGACAAATGACAAACTTGAAAAAATATTCAAACATACGTCACAATAAAGAGTTTAAATCCTATATTTATTAAGAACTCTTAAAAGTTTGAGGGAAAAAGACCAAAAAATCCTATAGAAAGATAGGAAGAAAGCATAAACACACTTCACAAATAAAGATATAAAAATGGCCTCTGAACATATGAAAACACATCCAATTTCACTCATAATAGGGCAAATGTAAATTAAAACTACAATAAGATACAAATTCTCACCCATCAGATCAGTGAAAATTTAAAGCTGACCATTAACAAAGATTCTCTCCTTGACCAAACTCGAGCCAGGCTCCTCTGAGCCCTCTTCTTGACTAGGCCTCAATCTTGGCCTATAAAGACTTGAACAAAACACTAATGTAGTTTCTAACAGCTCAAGGCCACATCCCTGGGATGACCCTATCCTGCCTTAGAGTGCCTCCCTGAGAAAACTCAAGGCTGCCAAGAGAATTTACTGTTTGTTCCAGCCAAGGCCTGAAGATAGGGCCCCTGTCTGTTGGCCTCTGAGGGAGAAGGTGGGAGGAGCCTAACATCAGTAAGCTCCAGTTAGCAAACCCAGATGGGTTTCACGTGGACCAATCTCCACCCCTCTTCCTGCTTTTTGTAATTTTTCACTTCCCTGAATCTACTGAGAACCTGCTCCTCCCCATCCTTATTCCCTTATTCTCCCTTTAAAATGCCCCATCACCTCTGTACAAATAGAAGTTGAGTTCAGCTCAGGCTGGATTCTTTTCCCTAATGCAACAGTATATTACTGATTAAAATCTGTCCGTAACACTTTAATTAGTGTCCAGCTTTGTTTATCTCTTATACCATGTATATACTCTGTTGGCAAGACTGTGGAAAAAACAGGCACTCTCATACATTGCCGGTGAGAACGCAAAATGATACAACCCTGTGGAGGGGAATTTGGCATTGTTTAACAAAACTACATGTGTGTTTTCCTTTTGAGCCAGCAATCCCACTTCTAGGAATTTATCCTGAAGATATATCTCAAAACAATGTGAAAATACATATGCACAAGGTTATTCACTGAAGGATTATTTGTAATTGCGAAATACTGGAATCTATCTAAATGTCCAAACACAGGAGATTGGTTGAACAAATCATTGTTCATACACACAACAGAGCACTATGCAACTGTGAAAAATAATAAGCAGACACATGCATTTTGTAAATTTTTAAATTAAAAAAAATTTTCCCTTTCATATGATATATCTATGAGAAAAATTTTCTGTTTTAAATTATATATATGTCATAAGAAATAGAAAAAAATAACGAATATATCTGCTTATCATCAAAAAATAAACACAGGGAAGATAAACAAGAAAACACCGAAGTTAGTTACCTATAAGAGGTGAGTGGGGGATGAAATGGAAGGAATGCAGGAGGGAGATAAACTTCTCTGGGTGTACCAAATTGGCTTTAGGTACCTATTTATAGAAGAATTAGAATGGCTATCCAGATTTACACATGTCTTGCAGAGATCCATATAAAATAATTTTGCATTGTTATGCCATGATTTAAGGTAATTTTTTAGGTTTACTTTTGTAATTACTATCTCTACAACGAACCAGTCTTGATTTTTTATCTTGGTTTATTTTTACCACATCATTACACCTGACAGATCTCTTATACCACACACATGTAATGAAAACCGATAGTGATGTGCAAGGTTAGGAAAAAGCTAAAAGCAGAGGGCAAAGAAAAGCAAAAATCACAGAAACGTTCTAGGCTGCAACTCAGCAGTCATTCACTGAAGAAAGGTACTCCTCTACAAGTCAATTTTTTTAACTTTCATAAACTCAACTTTGCATAAATTTATATTTACATTACGCAAATAAATTTAATCTAATTATGGCCCAACATTCTTTCTGATAGATAAAACAGACTGTTAATCATATTTTTTCCCAAAGAAAAATTAGGAATATACAAATAATTGTGTTATAGTCCACCAATTAATTTTTATTATACTTGTCACAGTTTAACAAACCAGAAAATTGAAACTTAGAACTACTACCTTCTATTCTCCACCCAACCACTGTCTAGCCACATTATTCGCCTATTTAATTGAGGAAAAGGAGGTTCTTTACTATGATACCTCTTGATAATTGGCCAAAATTTAATAAGTTTGGATAAGATATACACACAGGGATGTATATGTGAAACTTTTTTCAAAAAAAGTTGAAATTATTTAGTGAAGTTATAGCAAGCTTTTTCTCACCAAACTGATTCAAGTTTGTAAATAATTCACAGATCTAGCTAAATCACCGCACATTCCTAAAAGTCTCCCAAAAGAATCCAAATTTCATTATCTTTAAATATGTTCATATGTACAAACGTAAGACTATGATATACGGAGCACCAGATAACAAGATGGGTTTTGCCTAAATTTATATTCTAAAATAGAAACAAATGTAGAGATTCATTGTACT